ATAATAAGCCTGATGTTTGTCATCTTTCAGAAACATGTGATACACACAGACCCATATATGTGTTGCAGATTTAAAGAAGTTATAATCCCACCTTACCTCCGTCAGATACTTTTGAGATCTATCTGCTGTAGTAGTTTAACAGAAAATTGAAAGAAGTGCAAATTTATTGACATAACTTAAATGAATGTCTGCATGCATTCCTGATAAAGAAAAACTTTGGCTGATTAATTTTGAAAATACGCTCTTGCCGAGACAAGACCAAATTCAATAGCTCCTAATGAGTGATCTCCATGAAGAAAAAAATAGTAGGCGCATATAGTACTTTAGTGACAAGAAAATCTGCAGATTGGCCATGAATGAAGAGGGGTGGTCCTTGGTGAGCGAAGGCGTTGATGAGCACACCGTTGCCCTACAATGTGAAGTGCTGAGGAGGCCCATGCCAAGAGCTGGTGGTGAGTACTGGCCTATTGCAGCTGCATGAGTTTCTTTGGTCTACATTTACATGGCGATGAACGGGATCCATTTGCTCTAGATGCGGCCAAAGGTAATTGTTTCAAGCAGGTTTGATCTATGTCGTACACGCTAACAAGTTGGAGGTTTGATTATTATCTTGTGTGAGCTTTAAATTTGGCAAATTCTTCACTTAATTTACTGCTTTTCGCATGAAGCACATATATGGCTAGTGATGACAAGTAAATATATTTACTTGGTTCATTGACTGCAGGTGTGGGATTTGCCGATACCTTGGCTCAAGGTATGATAACTACACATGTCTACTTAGCCATTATTAGGAGAATAGTGCAAATAGTACTAAAATCATCATGTGCTCAAATTTCCATGATAATATAGAGCTACAAGGTTATAAAATTAAGCCTTCCAGTTATCATCTGTGAGAAAGATCTCATGCGCACACACACAATTATCCATGTCATGAACCGATATGACTTTGTGTGTTTTCAATGGCAAATAATTAGAATTCCCCACTTTTCCTCAATAGGTTTTTCTTAGAAATTTAATCATTAACCAAAAAAATCAGCTCTTCTATCTGATGAAGTTTAACATTTTTTT